ATCCCTTCATTCTTTCTGGAGTTATTTCTCCACTGATCTCCAGTAGCATATTGGGCACCTACTGACCTGGGGAGTTCATCTTTCAGTGTCCTATCTTTTTGCCTTTTAATACTGTTCATGGGGTTCTCAAGGCAAGAATACTGAAGTGGTTTGCCATGCCCTTCTCCAGTGGACCACATTTTGTCAGGACTCTCCACCATGACCTGTCTGTCTTGGGTGGCCCCACACGGCATGGCTCATAGTTTCATTGAGTTAGATGAGGCTGTGATTCATGTGATCAGTTTGGTTAGTTTTCCATGATTGTGGTTTTCATCCTGTCTGCCCTCTGATGGATGAGGATAAGAGGCTTGTGAGCTTCCCAGTGGGAGGGACTGGCTGTAGGACACTGGGTCTTGCTCTGGTGGGCGGGGCCACGCTCAGTAAATCTTTAATCCAATTTTCTGCTGATGGGTGGGGCTGTGTTCCTTCACTGTAGTTTGGCCTGAGGCCAAACCGTGGTAGGGGTAACGGTGACCTCCTTCAAAAGGACTTTTGCCAGCACGCTGTGACTCTCAGTAGGGAAAATGCTAACAGGACTCGAGCAGGAGCCATTTTTAACCTGAGAGGAAGACAGAAGTGACCAGTTGACCTGGCTGAATAGTAAATCTGGGATTCAATTTTAATATTGTACCAGCAGGAAATGACTTCTCTGAACTGTGCGGTGGATAGGAAATTTGTTGCAAGTGCGCTGGGGAACCTATCTTCCGGCTGACCTATAGAGAAAAGGACCAAGGAATAAACAGACATGCAGGAAAACTACTGGTCTCCGCTTCTTTTTTTTTCTTCAATTAGCAATAATTGCACCTCGGATAAACCTCACTGGCTATGATACTGCCAGTGTGCAAAGCTGGTCTCCACTTCTTAAACCAGCCTTCAGAAAGAAGCCTCGTTGAGGGTTCAAAAGGGGTGTCATGCTTAGCTGCTCTGTTGTGTCTGAGTCTGTGTGACCCCGTGGACTGCAGCCCACCAGGCTCCCCCGTCCCTGGGATTCTCCAGGCAAGAACCCTGGAGTGGATTACCGTTTCCTTCTCCAATGCATGAAAGTGAAAAGTGAAAGTGAAGTCGCTCAGTCGTGTCCGACTCTTGGCAGCCCCATGGACTGCAGCCCACCAGGCTCCTCCATCCATGGGATTCTCCAGGCAAGAGTACTGGAGTGGGGTGCCATTGCCTTCTCCAAATAGTTACATGGGGGTTCATTAGAGTTTCTTCTGTTTTTTTTTTTTTTAATTGTTCATAGTAAAAGAAAAAATTCTGTACAGCATATTTTATCACTGATATTTGGAGGAGTTAGAATACTGAATATTAAAGATCTATCATTATTATATGGAACAAACAAGAAATGATACTAAATTGTGTCTAGGAAAAGTTGGCTGATTTTCCTCTGTAAAGCAGAGTCCTAATAGCCTGGCTGTGAAAGCCACTGAGTGTTAGGATGACCTCTGTGGAGCTCCCGTGCCCTCCCTCAGGTTTGGCGACTCGCAGGACTCCCGGGACTCAGCACCCAGCCGTCCTCCCAGTTATGAGGTATTATTACTGCAAGGAGATTCAGAGCAAAACCAGCCAAAGGGAAAAGCGCGTGGGGCAAAGTCCAGAGGAAACCAGGTGCCCTTCCCCTCCCTGGCAGTGAGCTGTGCAGCCCGTGTGAAGTGTTCCCAGGGAAGCTCGCTGGAGACTGAGCGTCAGGGTTTCTATCAGAGGCTGCTCGCATAGGCAGGCACCCTCTGCCTGCCACGTACCCAAATCCCAGACTCTCCCAGTGGAAGGAGGCGTTCAGCATAAACCACATCTTCCGTGCAAACAGGTTAGACACAGTGAGTCTTCATATCAGGAAATGATGGAGACCCTCCCACGATCCAGGTTCCTAGAAGCCAATCAGGGCGCAGCTTGGTGGGCAGGCCTTTCTGGGGACATCAGCCTCAGCCTGTGTGTGAACTCTGCTACACAAGAGCTCAAAATACACGACAGCTTTGAGACAGGGATTGGGCTGTGCGTGGTTTGGTGGTTTTATTAGAAATGTTACTGAATGTAGTCTTATTTCCTCTCTGTCTCTGAAATAGAAAATGCCTTTTTCCTTAGCTACTGAAACATAAAGACAAAATTGCAGCTTTCAGAGAGTTACTTGCTAATGAAAAATCATTTCAACATCAGGTTCCTCAGGTGAGTTAAACATTCACTGTCTCTAACATACAAAAATGCAATTTTAGATCTTACATTGAGAGCATTCTGTTATTGAAGCCACTAGCGATCTCTCTGGTGGTTTAACTGATAGCGTATTCACCGTCCTATGGTCCAAGGGAGTGAACATATCGGAAGTGAGCACAAATATGTTTCATCGCAGGTTACAGAATTTGACTCCAAGGAAGCCAAGAATGTCAGAGACGTGCCTGTGGTACTGGGAGCCAAACTGAACCAGTACCACAACCTAAACAAGGAGCTTGATTTTTTGGTAAGAAATACCTTTCGTTGCTTTGCTAGCCTTTTTATTTACAACACTGTCTTAATAACAAGTTGTGGAAATGATCTACCTTCAAAAACTTTGCTCCTTGAAATGGTCGCACACTGGCATAGTAGCAGCATTATTTACCCCCACAAATATAGAACTGAAGTCTGCACTCTCAGGTTTTGGAATTTTAAATATTGTCCCACCTGATTTCTGTGTAATCAGATTTTTTTTCTTTCAAAATGCAGAAATTTTCAAGTATGTGCAAGTTTTTCGTAGTGAATGAAGCACATTTATATTGTGGCACATACAACCACCATTCTTAGAGCAGTAGGTGTTTACAGCAATCGTGACTAAGGGGGTGAGGGGGAAAGGGCATTAGTTCTTTGGCACCCAAAGCCTTCACAGGGGAGTGGTGATTGTGGGAGGGGTGGAGCTAATGGCAGTAATCATTCTGCAGTATGTCAGTGTATCGAATCAGCAGGCTGTACACCTGAAACTTACACAATGGTTGCATCAGTTATATATCAATAAAGCTGGAGAAAAGGGTTAAAGCAGATAAAACAGGAAAAATCTGTGGGAAGAAGATGAAAATATCTTGGTACCTAGGAAGTTACAATCCATTTGGATCCCACTATCTAATGAGAAAGAGGTTAATTAACTTAGTTGGTTTTTGTAACGTTTATTTATTTCTGGCTGTGCTGGGTCTTCATTGCTGCACAGGCTCTTCTCTAGCCGCGGCGAGCAGGGGCTCCTCTCCGGTCGCAGTGCACGGGCTTCTCTTGTCGCAGAGCACTCGGGCTTCAGTAGCTGTGACTCGTGGGCTTAGCTGCTTCGCAGCGCGTGGGATCTTCCCGAACCGGGGGTGGAACCTGTGTGTCCTGCCTTGGCAGGTGGATTCTTAGCACTGCGCCACTAGGGAAGCCCCCAGAATTTATGTCTTCATCGTTAGAGAAGTCTGTCCTATTTCTAACTTGTTAAAGGCAGCATTCTGTACTAAATTCATTGCATGAGAGAGGAAAAGGCCTGATGCTCGGAGGGCTTACGGTTTTCTTCCTTTCTACTGCATCAGTTTTCTTCCTTATATAGATAATTATTGACTTCCCTGAAAGGGTAAGCAAGGCTAGTCAGTATGGAGATATTGATGGAAAGGTACATCAAACGGAGGCAGTTCCCTGCCTCCAAGGAATCTAGAAAAGAAGGTGCGATATACAGATAGCTATTTGGAAGGACTAGAGGGAACCTTTTTCGAAAGAGCTAAGATACATATCCGACAAAGGAAACAGTTGTTGACCAGCTGGAGCTCAGAGGAGGAGCCCGTGACATCCAGGTGGGAGAGTCGCAGAGGAGAGCCCACCGGCTGGCAGGGGGCAGATGAAAGGGTGCAGGCTCTGTCTGCAGCTTCTCAGCTTCAGGCACAAAGGAGGCTTGGATTGGGCCTCAGTCTCCCCTGGGTGGGAAGCTGAGGTGAGAAAACGCTCACAAAGGGCAGCATCTCAGTCACACTTGTTGCCTCTAATATGTGCTGCAGACGCTCTTGTACAAACCGTATCTCAGAGGGACCGGATAACTGATGAGGGAGAGTCCTTCGCTGAGGAATGTAAGCTGTTAAAAGCAGGAGAGGGACTTCCCTGAGGCGCAGGGCTTAAGACCCCGCCTTCCAATGAAGGCGCTGCCAGTTGGATCCCTGGTTGGGGCTAAGATCCCACATGCCTCTCGGGCAAAACATCAAAACAGAAAACAGAAGCAGCGTTGTAACAAATTCAACTGAGACTTTAAAAATGGTCCACATCAAAAAAAATCTTAAAAAAAAGCAGAAGACACACCTATAGAAAATTACATCTTGCATCCCTAAATAAAATAAGGAATCTTTCTTATGAGAATGGCTGCTAAAACCTGTAAGTTCAAGACTCACAGGAAGCTTTTAATGGCCCACACCAGAGCCCTGCTGTCCAGCTTAGCTGCACAAAAGGTGAGGTGTGCCGTTGACGGCATGAGGCATGCCGTTGACGGCATGAGGCATGGGACGGGCACTGTCCGTGGTGTCTCATCTGAAAGCAAGCTTCCAGACCACGCCGCTCCTGAGAGGATAAAGAAGCACGTTAAGCTGACCGTGATAAAAATTCCAAATGTGAGAAATTCTAACCCATAACACTTGGCACACGGAAAGGGAGGGAGAGGAAAGGAAGAGCTGCTTTAGACACAGAGGTTCAAGTGTGGTGCTCAGTCGCTCCGTCGTGTCCCACTCTCTGCAGCCCCGTGGACGGCAGCGCGCCAGGCTTCCCTGTCTTCCAGTGTCTCCCGGAGTCTGCTCAGATTCGTGTCCGCTGAGTCAGTGGTGCTAACGATCTCAGCCTCTGCCGCCCTCTTCTCTCTTTCTACTTCCAGCCATGTCGTTTAAAAAGCATTTTAAATCTCTTCACCTTGGGTCTATCTGTTAAACTGAGGTAATATCTGTACTCCCCACCTTAAATAACATGTGCAGTCATAGGAATGGGACCCCGATTTGATATTGTCCCCATTAATATATCTGTGTAAAGAGAAAGAGCAAGAAAGCCGCTGTGTCTGCAGAAAATTTGTTCTGCCATTGTTTCCTGTAGGGCATCTAACCACAGATGTGTAAACATATATAAATAAATATGTTTAAATATTAGAAAATCAATGGCCACTCTTAACACTGTTATTTAAAGGGAACCTTTCTGTCCTTTTTCTTCTATAATTGCTTTGAAAATTAAGGTAACTGCTGGGGAACTTGTAAATACCCTTTCTTGATAATTTATCCTAGATATCATTTTTAGAAATACAAATTTTAAGTTATTAATGTAAAAATACAATGTTTAAGTTGTTAATGTTAATTTTTTGCAAATAAAAGTTGGGCTAAAAAAATTAAAAAATTAAAAAACAAAACAAAAAACAAAGAAAAAAAATTGGACCATAAGTCAGAATGTGATGCACATTGAGCTGAACCTCTTAAAAACTCATTTATACATGTGAGAATATTGATGAAACCTGAAAATTTATCATCAAGCAGCACATCAGTGCTTCAGACAGAACCAAATATCCATTGGTTATATACAGAAAGAAGGTAGTCTATACATTGGTTATGTACGGAAAGAAAAGACTTGAGTCTAATAAGTACTTGTATTTACTAGCAGATGTCTAGCTACTTGCAAAGCAATTTCATTGTATTAAATTGTAGAAAAGCTGAAACACCATTAAAATTTCTGTTCATATGTTCTAATTGCAGTCTAACTAACAGCCTCTCTCAATTCACCTATGGTACAAATCATTGTAAGAGAATATTGAAATAAAGTATAGCTCACTGTTCTCATTGTTCTTAGCATCCATATGTGGTTTTTATGGCAGTTTCCAAGTTAGCATTTTTGCTGATGTTACTCCATAGATTGCAAAATTGGAAAATCTTCTAGAGACAAGAGAAGACCACTGCAACAGACTCACTGAAGAAAATGACAAGTATCAAAGACATTTAGGCAACTTAATAAATAAGGTACAGACTTTCTTACACAAATATATATTTAACACTATGTCAAATATTAAAACATTAGAATTTGGGTGCGAAAAAGGGATATGAGGAATCAGTTCAGTTCAGTCGCTCAGTCGTGTCCGACTCTTTGTGACCCCATGAATCACAGCACGCCAGGCCTCCCTGTCCATCACTAACTCCCAGAGTTTACTCAAACTCATGTCCATCGAGTCGGTGATGCCATCCAGCCATCTCATCCTCTGTCTTCCCCTTCTCCTCCTGCCCCCAATCCCTCCCAGCATCAGGGTCTTTTCCAATGAGTCAACTCTTCGCATGAGTTGGCCAAATTATTGGAGTTTCAGCTTCAGCATCAGTCCTTCCAATGAACACCCAGGACTGATCTTCTTTAAGATATGAGGGATGACGTAACACATTTCACTTCATAATGACTTTGTGTCATTATCCTTTTAGCTAAAAGTTAGCAAAGAACTGTATGTGTTCATATAGCCTTCTGTTGTCAGCAGTCTCTTAGTCTTAGCATCACTGCTTCATTTGGAGGGTCCTTCTAAATCTTGCCAACATAGTGTTCTAGTTTACTTTTTAAAACTGCATTGTGGACTCTGAGCCTGGGTTGACACATACACTACTTGTGTGGATCACAGTTGATTCACTACAGTTGTCCATGTTTTGATACTTTTTCTGCATGGTGAACAGGCACATTTCAGTTCTACTTGTATCCATATTCCTGGTTTCAAAATACAAGGAAGATATAAAACCTTGCTTGAAACCTTCATTCACAGAAGTCATGTAAATGAACTTCAACTTGTGCAGATTCTTAAAAAGCAAAAATATGAACAAAATGAAGTAAATATCCTAGAATTGATCACAGAATAATTGTTTTAGCTAATGTTTCCCAAGGTTACATCTTATGAGGAGATTATCAAATGTGCTGACCAAAGACTTGTGATATCCCACTCCCGGATTGCACAGTAAGTTGAAAAAACTTCATTTTTAATTTTGTAAACATTTGCTGGTGTGTCACTTTCTGACTTGCTGAGTTCATCTTTCAGACTCCTACAAAGAGGGGAATGTGCCATTTTGTAAGTCAAGAAGACCATTCTTCAGTAATGTGTTTATTCTGTTTAATGTCTGGATTACTCGAACACCCAGAGTTTCGTCTTCCTTCTCAGAACTCCCTTTGATGTGGGGGTGGGTGGGGAGTGAGGTTGAGGAATTAGTGAGAAACATCCAAGAACTTTAGAGGATATCACCACAGTGTTCAAGTAAAATAATCTTGCTATGCTTAGAATTTATCCACATAAGGTTTTGAATGCACCCCAAATGAAACATATCAAGTACCAAGTCAACTTTCTCATTTATTGAGATTCAGGGTGGAATATTCCAAAATTAGTGTTTTAAACTCTGTAAAGTCTTTCCACTTATTTCTTCTCTTTATTTCTTACATGCTCTTTCCTCCACCCTTCTCCCAGTTTCATTTGTACAGTGCTTGCTGCCATTAGAGCTTAAGCAAAAGGTCTAATCTTACACCCCCTAAAACAGGAGCTTCGTATAGTGCTAACTCACCGCAAGATAAATGAAAGAAAGTGTGGATAAAACACACACACAAAACCAAAGCAAACTCATCAATGCAGAGAACCTGTTGGTGGTTACCCGAGGGGAAGGGAGTGGTGAGCCAGCGAGATGGGTGAGGGGGACGGGCTGTGTGGCGATGGATGGTGACTGGACTTCCGGTGGTAACACTAGTCATGCACACAGAGGTCAAATTATAACGCCATACACCTGAGATTTATGTAATAATATACGCCAATTTTACCTCACTAAAATATAAAGAACGGAGAAGGAAATGGCAGCCCTCTCCAGTATTCTTGCCTGGGAAATCCCATGGACGGAGGAACCTGGCAGGCTACAGTCCATGGGGTCGCCAAAGAGTTGGACATGGCTTAGTGACTAAACAACAAACAAAACCAGTGAAGAAGTTACTGTAATTCAAATACACAGATCCCTTTGAACAGAACAAAAGCTTTCACATCACTTAAACACAAAGGAAAAAAATTAGAATTTATGGTTTAAGATTGTATACTTGTTTACATTGAATTTCAAATCAAAGGACTTAAAAAAATTTTTTTTTCCACAAGGGCTGCAACACATACAAACACATAAATATTTGCTTTTAAATAAAACAATTATCTTTGATATGGTGTAAAAAAAATAAAGAAGACAATATAAATATAAAATAGTACATTCAATATTATAAAGATAAAATAAAGACAAATATCTAAGAAGGTGTACTTGTTTCTTAGATCTTAAGATTCAGTATTGTTAAGACTTATTTCTCCCCAGGCTGATCTAGATTTTATTTTTATCTTTTAAATATGTTTTATTGAAATACAGTTGGTTTACAGTGTTCTGTTAATTTCTGCTGGGCAACAAAGTGATTCAGTTTGTTGTGATTCAGACACACACATTCTTCTCAAAGGATGCTGAAATCATTGGCCATCCATTTGCAAACAAACAAGAAAACAAAATGCTTTGATTTATACCTTGTATCACATGCAAAAGTAACTCAAAATGGATACTAGACCTAAATGAAAGAGCTAAAGTATAAAAAATTCTTAAAATATAGGAAAAAATTTCTGATGGGTTGATGTTGGGTTAGGCAGTGATTTAAAATGATACTAAAAACATGATTCATAAAAGAAAATTTTGATAATCGTACTTCATCAAAATTAAAAACTTTGGCTCTTCCATGGACATCATTAAGAGAATGAAAAGACTAACATGAAAGAATATTTACAAGTCATATATCTGATAAAGAACTTGTAACCAGAATACATAACAGACTCTCAAAACCAGAGAATAAGAAAGCAACCCCATAAAAATGGGCAAAGATTTGAACAGATACCTCACCAAGAAGATAGATATGTGGATGACAAGTAAGCACATTAAATGATAGTCAACATCATTAATAGGCAAATTAAACCCCAGTGAAGGCCACTACACACCTATTAGAATGCCTAAAAAACTGACCATACCAGGTATCTGCAAGGACATGGAGCAACTGAGATGCTCATAGCCTCCTGGTGGAAATGTAAAATATAACAACCTCTCAAAAAACAATTTGGCGCCTTCTTTAAAAGGTAAACATACCCAAGGTATGTTTCAGTCAACCCACTCCTGTGTATTGATCCAAGAAGAAAGAACGTGTGTGTTAACACAAAAGAGAATTTCAAGATAGCTTTATTTGTAATAGCCCCAACCTAGGGACGACCTAATGTCCCTCAAACTGTGGGATGACGGACAAACTGTGACATGGCCACCCAGTGGAATTCTATACAGCAATAAAAAACGAGCGACCTCGGATAGGTGCAACATATGGGTGAGTTGCAAAATAATTAGGCTGAGTGTAAGAGTTCATTACACAAAATTCTACATGGTGCAAAACTATACTGTGAGAAAGCAGATGAGTGGTCATCCAGGATGTGGGGACAAAGAGGGCTGGGAAAGAGGGGTCACTCTCCTTCTTCACCACCAGAACCTTTAAAGGGAGAACTTAATTAAATAATTTGAGTTGCTAGGAAAGAATTCCAAGTTCCCATATAGCTGTCTTCTCAGGTGGCTCAGTGGTAAAGAATCCGCCAGCCAAACAGGAGATGCAGGAGATACAGTTTTGATCCCTGGGTTGGGAAAATGTGGAGGAGAGAATGGCAACCTCCTCCAGTATTCTTGCCTGTAAAATCCCATGGACAGAGGAGTCTGGCAGGCTACAGTCCATGGGGTCCCAGAGAGCTGGACACGACTGAATGACTGAGCAGATAAAGATGGCTAGATGCTGTACAGAAAGCTAGACCATCATCAAATTTACCTACTCAAATCCTCCAGTGACGCTAGCTTAGAAAAGGCCATTTTAACCATAAACTTCAGTTGTTTCTTCTTTCAGTTTAGAAGAGAGAAATAAACAGTTGGAAGATTTAGTTAGAAGGTCCAGAGAGAGAGTCAGAAAACCAGGGTAAGTTGTTTCTCTTTCTAAATGGTAATGTCTTTAACTTTAGAATATATGCATAATGATGTTAAACATTAAAAAAAAAACAACACCTTTTTCCTTGTCTTAATTTAAGACAAACAAGATAAATTATGTAAAAGTGCTTGGTATTTTGCCTAGCATGAAATAGTTGCTTCATGTTTTTTTGTAGGACCTGAATTGCAAAGCAAAGTTCACTGCCCCCAGGGAACTTATGATCATTTCTAAGAAAAATACTATACAGATCATGAACTAAGATTTAGTTTACAATAAAACAGCTTGCTCTGATATAAATATACAACAGGCCAGATCTTATGACCAGATTTTCTTCCACTGGTATGGAATCTTATAATCTGTTGTCTTATTAACAGAGGACTCTCAACTCTCAGTATTCTCTGCTCCAGCCTGTATGCACAAACCCTGAGGGGTTGATGAGGACCAGCGGAGGATGTTAACATAGAACTCTCTTGTCCAGCTCCTAAGATGCTAATTAAACAGTTACCAGTTCTCTATTTTAATCCTCCCCACCACCCCCACTTGTTTTTGTTTTGTTTGACATTATTCTCTTTCTGTTTCCTGCAGACCGAGAAGTCAGCTAAAGCTCCTGACCGCGGTAGGTCATACTGATTGATGATCATTATAAACAATGTGATATTTCCATGTCATTGTCAAATTACACAAGATTAAATATGAGTTCCTAAAGTTATATTTCAGTAATCTTCAGCACAGCTTACCCCTCTGCCCCAGATAAGGGCCTCTGGGCTGTGAGGCCCAGCAAATAGTTGGTCCTGCAAATGGAAGCCCCTCCCTTAATTGTATTAGTCCCCTCGATGTCCCAACGTTTTGAAACAAAAATGTTGATTAAAATATAGTATTAGTATTATCTGTGGAGTTTATCTGTAGATTTTCCTTGCACCCATTTTTCATATGTAATCAAGAACATGCTGTTTATGGAATAGGAGTTCTGTATGTGATCAGGAATTCCACATGTAATCAAGAGTCAGCTGTTCTGTTCGCAAATGTCTCTCCTGCAAACTTAAGAAACATTGTTTTCCTTTTGTTTTTAGATGCCAGTTATTTTAGAAGGAAATAGAAATGCTTTCGATTAAACAGAACTGAAGATTAACAGTTAACCATTTTTGTCAGCCTCTCCAGGAGCAGTCATTACTCAGTGCTTGTACCCAGATCCACCCACACAAATGATACATTAAAATCTGTGTAAGTAGTGAAACCTTACAATCCAAAAAATGTGATTATTTTTCTTCTCGTTTCTTCCTGTGAACAGTCAAACATATTCTGATGTAACATAAACAAGTGACTACAGTGGCTTCTTTTCTGAATGCCTGCCAATTTTCATTCTTACAGCACACCAGTCTTGTGTTATTGTTGTTTAGACGTTAAGTCACGTCTGACTGTTTGCAACTCCGTGGACTGTAGCCTGCCAGGCTCCCCTGTCCGTGGGACTCTCCAGGCAAGAACACTGGAGTGGCTTGCATTTCCTTCTCCAGGGGACCTTCCTGACCCCGGGATCGAACCCACGTCTCCTGTGCAGACAGGTGGATTCTTTACCACTGAGCCACCAGGAAAGCCACTCCCGTGTTGCCAGACCTTTAATAATGTTCTGAAAATTGTTCTCTTATCTCACCTCAACTTTTTTTTCCTCTCTGGGCAGGCAGGCTCTCCCTACTATCAATCAAATTTAAAAAGACTTAACGCTGAAATCGTTTGGAATTAAAACCCAGGTGATAGGAGATTTCACCCTTGTAACTTTCACCTTAAAATATTTTGAGGGATTAGTTCCAAGTTTAAAACAATGAATCAGAGAAGCTGATTTTGTAATATGTATTGGAAAAATGAATGTACATAACAAATATATCATCTTTTTGATAAATCCCAGAGCCAGGGTGGAGGTATAATTATTGAATGAAGATATACCTTGAATGGAGGGGAAGAAATGATTTTCTCTCACTGAAATTAGCTTTGCACTTAAATTAGGCAGGTAAGTACAAGGGGGAAATATATGGAGAATCTATATCTGGCCCCAAAGGAAGTGATGAATTAAAAAAAAAGTATTATTATTGTTATTATTTTTGTGGAGGAATTCTATAAGACATCTTACATGAATGTTGAAACAAAGTTAGTTTTTCAAATTTAAGAAGTTGCAATACACTGTGAGACCAACCCTGAGAAATGCACAGGCAGTTGCAGCTATAATCATGCTTCATCTGAAAAATGTAAGCCCTAAAAGCTTCGGAAGTGATCAAGCTTTAAAAAGAGACGTTATTATTAGTCCCGTGGCGTTCTCTAGGGAAAGTTACGGTGCGCTACGAGAAAGACAAATACTGTGATGGCTAACACAGCACCCGGAGTCTGCACACACACGGCGAGATCTTTGGAAGAGACAGGTTAACACAGACTGTCCATGAGCAGGGCTGCGTGCCGCAGGGCTGCACTCCCACATCTGCTACTAGACGTTCACGACCTTTACCGCCAGGCTGCCTCACGGCGAACGTACCTTCTTTGGCACACAGCTCAGGGAGGCAGCATCTAAGCCAGGGCTTCTCCCTATAAACATCTAGTGACTTTCAGCACACCACGTGAACAGTCTCTGTATTAGATGCCAAAGTGAAAGGGAAAGTCGCTCAGTCATGGCCAACTCTTTGTGACCCCGTGGACTGTCCATGGAATTCTCCAGGCCAGAATACTGGAGTGGGTAGCCTTTCCCTTCTCCAGGGGATCTTCCCAACCCAGGAAGTGAACTAAGGTCTCTTCGGCATTGCAGGCAGATTCTTTACCAGCTGAGAGATGCCAAAGGTACCATGAAAAGCCAGGCAGAGATGGCCAAGGACCACATGATGCATGGGGGGAGATGGATAATTGATTCTTTCCTGGATTGGGACCTGGGTCCGAGCATCTGGGATGCTCTGGAAGCATAGATGAGTTGGCTCTGGACTAGATGATGAGAAAACCTCAGGGCAGGTTTTACAGAAGTGATGACGCCTGAGCCTGATCCTTCTCACTGACTAGATGTTCCCCAGGTAGACAGAGGAGGAAGCTCCTCTCACACAGCACAGGGGCACGAGGTACCCCGTGATACTCTCTGAACCACAGGTAAATTCTAAAACTTGCCTTCTTCATACGGCAGGAGATGACCGTGATCATCAATAATCTTCCGTGCCACATGAAGAAGTGTGAACCTTGTCCTTGTGAGAAGCTCTGAGCAATTTTACGTGGAGGAGTCATGTGGTCGATTATGCATTTTGAGGGACTTCCCTGGTGATCCAGTGGTTAGGACTGCACGTTGTCACTGCCAGTGGCCTGGGTTCCATCCCTGGTCAGGGAACTAAGACCCGAAAGCCAAGCAGCATGGCCAAAAAAAAAAAAAAAAAAATTATGCATTTTGAATAGTGATGTATGAAGTGAAGTGTAGTGATGGTGGGTGATGCTAGAATCAAAACTACCAGATAAGATGCTCCAAAAAAATGGAGGCCAGAAACAAAAATCGTGACAGAGGAAACAAAGGGGAAGTTATGCATGCAAAGTGATTTCAAAGACAAATGAAAACGATAGGTGATCAGTGGCTCTGAGAGTGAAACAGGGAGGGGGTTAGGATGTCCTTGCTGGGTGAAAGAACACAGAAGTCTTTGCTTGCATATAATAAATGTAACTTTTTTTTTTGCTTGTTAGTTTTTCATTTCTTACTAGGTCTACAGTTGAACTTAGGTTGCAAATTTGTGAAGGGAAGATGTTATTTGTAATAATGCAACAAACGCAACAGATATTTTCTGAGTTACCACCGATGTCAGGCGCTGTTCTGTATCATTGACTCAGTTCAGTTCAGTTCAGTCGCTCAGTCGTCTCCGACTCTTTGCGACCCCATGAATAAAGGTACAAAAATCCCTGGCCCCAACATGTGACAGACAGGCGATGTAGTAAACTGTATATTGTGTTAGAAGACAAAAGGAGCTGTTAAAAAGAAAGAGAACAGAGACAAGAAATTGAGAGTGCAAGGGAAGGGCTAGGGGGTGTAAGTTTAAACTGGGAGTGAGGATGAGCCTCACTGAGGACGTGGTCCTTGAGCTAAGGTTTAAGGCCAGGAGGAAGTTCTTTAGTTACTTTGCTACCTGGGGGAACACCCAGAACAAAAACAAGGGTTTAACAGACAGCATCTAATGATGCTGAGGGAAATCTTAAGAAATCAAAGAAAAAGAAAGCTCTGAACTTAAAAATTCCAAGGAAGTAAAATAAGAGAAGTGAAGAATCCACTGTGAGTTTGCCTGAGCTGTAAGAATGGGAATAACCAGGATGCGGTATATTTCTGGAAAACACAGACCTTCAAGGAGGTAGATGCGGAAGCAAGAGAGAGAAAAGAGAAAACATAGAGCGAGAGGGAGGGCTCTGGGTCGGTACCCAGGGAACGCTGCTCATTACGGGGAGAAGGGAAATGGCAATAGTGCAGAATTTGTGGACACCCAGATCAGGGCAAGGATTTTACTTCAGTGAGTCATAGGCTGCTGCTGCTGCTGCTGCTGCTGCTAAGTCGCTTCAGTCGTGTCCGACCCTGTGTGACCCCATAGACGGCAGCCCACCAGGCTCCCCCATCCCTGGGATTCTCCAGGCAAGAACACTGGAGCGGGTTGCCATTTCCTCCTCCAGAGTCACAGGCTACTGCTTTTTATTTTTGTACCAGTTAGTCACACAGCTCTCTCTGTTTTCTGCTTGTATGATCTGATTTTCACTCAAATCTCATCCCAAGAAGGCACACTTTGTCCCTGTTGCACCTTTAGTGGCCAACTGTCTAAAATTCCAGTCCCAAATAAATATTAGTAACCAATGGTTACTATTAGTAACCATTTATCCAGAGTCCGGAGTCAAAGTCCCAGTTTAAGCCTAAACTGCATTATCCTCGTATGTTCAGCCTCTGGAGAAACACATCCTGAGAACCGGAGCCACAGACCTTACTAGGGATCTCTTTAACATCAGGAATGAGAGTCCTCTGCCAGAAACCAGCTCTCTGAGGAAAGAGAGTCTAGGAGACAGCCCTGGTCCAGGGTCAGAATAGGTGATTCTAAATACCCAGCAGGATGACATATAGAGACAAAGAGTTTGAGCAGAGCCAGTGCAGGAACAAACAGCAGACGTCTTAGGCCAGTGAAGCCTGAAGTCTGGAATCAGACTCAGTTCAGTTCAATTGTTCAGTCTTGTCCAACTCTTTGTGACCCCATAGACTGCAGCATGGCAGGTTTCCCTGTCCATCACCAACTCCTGCAGCTTACTCAAACTCATGTCCATCAAGTCGGTGATGCCATCTAACCATCTCATCCTCTGTCGTTCCCTTCTCCTCCTGCCTTTCTTAGCATCAGGGTCTTTTCCAATGAGTCAGCTCTTCGCATCAGGTGGCCAAAGTATTGGAGTTTCAGCTTCAGCATCAGTCCTTCCAATGAATATTTAGGACTGATTTCCTTTAGAATTGACTGGTTTGATCTCCTTGCAGTCCAAGGGACTCTCAAGAGTCTTCTCCAACACCACAGTTCAAAACCATCAATTCTTTGACTCTTAGCTCTCTTCGTAGTCCACCTCCATACATGACTATTGGAAAAACCATAGCCTTGACTAGACGGACCTCTGTTGACAAAGTAATGTCTCTGCTTTTTAATATGCTGTCTAGTTTGGTCATAACTTTCCTTCCCAGGACTAAGTGTCTTTTAATTTCATAGCTGCAATCACCATCTGCAGTGATTTTGGAGCCCCCCAAAATAGTCAGCCACTGTTTTCACTGTTTTCCCATCTATTTGCCATGAAGTGATGGGACCAGATGCCATGATCTTAGTTTTCTGAATGTTGAGCTTTAAGCCAACTTTTTCACTCTCCTCTTTCACTTTCATCAAGAGGCTCTTTAGTTCTTCTTCACTTTCTGCCATAAGGGTGGTGTCATCTGCATATCTGAGGTTATTGATATTTCTCCCGGCAATCTTGATTCCAGCTTGTGCTTCTTCCAGCCCAGCGTTTCTCATGATGTACTCTGCATATAAGTTAAATAAGCAGGGTGACAATATACAGCCTTGACGTACTCCTTTTCCTATTTGGAACCAGTCTGTTGTTCCATGTCCAGTTCTAACTGTTGCTTCCTGACCTGCATACAGGTTTCTCAAGAAGCAGGTCAGGTGGTCTGGTATTCCCATCTCTTTCAGAATTTTCCAGTTTATTGTGATCCACACAGTCAAAGGCTTTGGCATAGTCAATAAAAC